CTCCTGGAGCAAGATGAGCAAAGCCCATTCTGCCATGGGCTGGGCTCCCTGCAGGGAGCACTGGCCAGGGGTGGGAGTGAGCAGTCCCTGGGGGAGAGGGCAGATCCTTGGGCACTACTGCTGATGCCTTAAGGAGCTGGAGCAGAGGCTGGATGGAGTTAAGGGGAATAAAGTGGGGATTTACTGAAGTGCCCTCAAAGGCCACACCCTGGCAGTGCCCAGATGGCTCCAAGATGGAAGCAAAACAAGGCTCAGTCATGAGATCTCACATTTTTATAAGTTTTAGTCCATTTGCATATAGGAGTTAACTGTCCAATTAACAGCTTCAAGTGATGAAGTTTCATCCTCCTTGCTTGCTTTCCCACCCTCCTCTTCTCACATTGTTTATGCTTTGGGCCTGAAGTTTGAAGAGTCTCCAGTCCTTGAATCTCCAGCTAGAACAGGATTGTTTTGTCTCCACCACCCTGTGAAAAGATCCCAGTAACACTTAATATAAAGCTAAAGCTGCACACCAACACAGAAGAGAACAACCCCAAGGTATCACTGACGCTGTCCCCTTCCTCCTGTCTTGCAGGGCTGTGTGTCTGGGGCTGAGCCAGGTGCCCCCTGCTCCGTGCTGGGTCCCATGAGACGGGCAGGACCCCCCTGTCCCTCGTGCCCGGGGCTGCAGCGCCCGGCTCTGCCCCCCCAGAGGAGCTGCAGAGAGCTGCTGCCACGGTGAGTGCTGGCCTCTGGCTTTGCTTTGTGACTCCTGGCTCTGGCTTTGCTTTCCCAGGACACCCCCCTGCAGAAGGGCTGCTCCAGGGCACTGTTCCTGCTGACTCCGTGTGCCTCCCTGGCTGCAGCGGGGTCACAGTGTGGGGCACCTGTGCCAGCCTGCAGAAAAAAAGCTCTCAGGGAACAGCTTATGCACCAAAAAAATTCAGATTTCAGTCAACAGACTCAGCTCACGAATTCAGGTTGTATTTAGCAAGTGGCTTTGGCTGGGAAAAAAAAAAGTGAAACACTGAAAAGTTTGATTTTGACATTTTCAAAATGAAACCTTTCAGCCATCTGTTTCAACATGACATTTCATTTTGATTTTTTTCGAGGTTTTTTTTTTTTTTCCCCAGGGTGGAGGGGAAGCCACCTACAAACAAAATGAAAGCTTCACTTCAGCCCAAACAAAATGTTTCATTCAGCCTCAAATTATTACTGGAGCTTTAAAATTTGGCAAAGAAAAAAAATATTTCTTTGGTCATCCTGAATGATTTTCTTTTCTCTGTTTAATCACCAGGACAAAAGAGAAGCGTGTGAGGGAGTGGGAGCTGTGGGGCCCATGGCAGGCAGCGTTGGGGGTTTGTGAGTGGGAGCTTGGGAAGAGCCTGTGGTGGCAGAACATGCTGTACCAATGACTTTGGTGATGGCAGAAGCCTGTGGGAGCCAATTTTAGCTGCAGCAGAAAGCTCATGCTGGAGAGGAGAGTGTGCTGTGCTGAGCCCACCTGGAGCCAGCACCTCCCAGGCTCTGGGGGTGGCCCCAGTGTCCAGAGCTGTGCTGGGTGCCAGAGGTTGAGTGGCAGGTCTCACCCAGTGCCATTCCCTCCCTGTTACCTGCTTTCCCATCTGCTCCTTGGGAAAGCCCACTTTGGGGATTTTGATAAATGGGAAGGAGAAGGGACCTTCTGCTCTGCCCAGAACCTTTGAACAGGAGAAATCACTCTGGGGATGGAGGAGAGCAGGAAGGGACTGGGGGGGGAGATCAAGCCCCTGTGGGGCTGCATGGGCTCCTCTCAGCCCCCTCATGGCAGGGAAGAGGTGATCTGACCCCTGTCCCAAATCCCATCATGGCTGGCACTTGGGTAGCACTTCCACCACCCAGCTCAGCTGAAACTAGCCAGCTGGAGAAAACAGCTGTGCTTTTCACTTTCCTCACCCTCTCCACCCCAGTCTGCCCTAAATGTGACCCTTCCCAGCCACACAGAACTGTTGGATGTGGAGGAAAGTGCTGGAAGGGGGCTGTGCTTGGTGGGGGCTGCTGGATTCCTTGGATGGGGTTGTGCTGGTTCATGCCCTGTGTCAGGAAGGAGCAATGGAGGCTGAATCACAGAATGAGAATAGGAAAGCTCCAAAATCATGCCATGAACAAAATCTGTGCAGCAACACGAGGGGCTGCAGGAAGGCTTCCTGGGCTGATTTCCTGGGAGGAGTGTGCTGCTGGCATATCCTGGCTGCCCACAGCCTGGCTGTGCAGGACTCCCACTCCAGCAGGAAGGCTCAAACACAGCAGGCAGGTGCTTGGGAGCGTGGTGGGACAGCAGGTGTTCAGGATCTGCTCACACGTGTTCCCATGCTTCTGTCAGCACTGGCTCCCTGCTGGAGTGCTGAGGGGTTGCTGCCTTTGTTGCAGAGGAAAAAAACCTGGCTGTTCAGAGGTAGGTGAGATGAGATGGGATCATGGCTGCTGCAGGTCTGAAATCAGTGTCTGCCCTTCTTTGGAGGGGAGCTGGTTGAGCCCAAACCTCTGTTGGCTGTTTTGTAGGTAGCTGTGACCCCAGGGTGTGAGTGGCAGTGCTGGAGAGGGTGGCAGGACCTTGTCCCTTTGGGCTTACCCCAGAGGGAATCCCTCCACCCTGCTTTGGGGGAGTCTTTCCCCAGGCCCTGAAACTCCAGAATTGTGTACCTCTGGGGTTGCATTTACTGTTCCCACCTTCCATTCTCCTTCTCTGTTTTCATTTCTCCCTCTTTTCCCCCTTCCTCCATCTTTATCAGTAGCTAATGAAACAGGCAGGGAGAAACCCAATTCGTACAGTAATTAAATTTACTTAGAGGGTATTCAGCTGGAGTAATGAGAAGTTTAATTCAATGATTAGTTTTTTCTTTCATTAATTAAAAATGGAACAACGGTGCAGTTACAGTGGGCTGCATTGATCCTCCTTGTGGAAAGCTGCTGATGGAGGAGGAGGAGGAAGGAAGGAAAGCTTCTCATTTTATCTTCTCTGGATGCTCTCCCCACACACAGATGCCTCTATTGTCCCCTGTTCCCAGCTGATCCCTTGCCCAGGTGTCCCTGAGTGACTTTAGGTGAGGGGTGCTTGGGGTGGTGATGAGGAGAGCAGTGGCACAGTTCCCCACACGGGTCCTCTCCCCAATCTGTCCCCAGCCTTTCAGTTTAAAATTGGATCTGAAATATTTGCTGTGGGTGGAAGATTGAAAAGCAGGTCCCAGCCCACAAGAAGTTTGGGGTGGGAGAGTTGTTTTCCATCCTTGCTGAACAGATTTTGATCCATTTAAATATGTTAAACTCATAAACATGTTTTTAGTCTTTTAAAATAAGTGATGTGTGAAAGCAAAAAATAAACCAAATAAGTAATTTCCCGTTTTTCCAATGCCTTCTGCAGGATCTTGAGCAGTGTTAGGACCTCAGATGTCCTTTGAAGCATGATTGGGCAGGTTCTGTTCCCCTAAAGCAGAGGCATTTGTGCTCCACGTTTTCACACAGATGGACTTTTTTTGGTAGCATTGGGGATTTTTGTAAGATCTGCTTATGTATGAGTTCCTAAGGAGGAGTAGACAGGAATAACCCCCAAAAAACCAAGGCACCATTAACTGGTGTCACACATCCAGTCTGTGCAGGAGCTGTGCACAGAAGGGGGCTGGGCAGGTGAGCAAGCTCTGCCTCCCCTCACCTGTGCCCTCCCTGCCCACCTGTCTGCCAGGTCCTCTGCTGCTCTGGGGGCTGTGATGGGGAGAATTAGCCAAGGGCTGGGGCACCAGCACCTGGGTTTGAAGCCAGTGAGAGCCAAGAGCACTCAACACCTCTGGAAATGGATGCTTTAGCTTTTCCTGGCTTATCTTGGGGGTGATAACTGCTCCAGGAAAGCTGGTAAGGGAGAGGCTCCTGGCCAGCCCAGCACTGTGTCCCTGTGCTGGGAGGACAGACAGAGTCCCATGTGGGACTGGAGCCCCTCCAGCAGTGCTCACACCTCCTGGAGGCTCCTCTGTGCCCCCTGTCTGTGGAGTGGCTCAGCACTCAGAGAAATGGCTTTTTATGGCAAGAAAGGAGGAATGCATCCCCCTGCTTTGACCTCATCTCCTGATACAGCAAAAATTGTGCTGGGAGAGGGTGAATATGGGGTACAGGACGGCTGCAGCTGAGCTCTTCTACCTCCAGCACATCTCAGCTGTGGTGGCAGTGGGAGGGAGCCCCAGGCTGGGTAAATTGGGGTACCCCAGTGCTGCCAGCCTCTGCACCCCTCAGCTGGACTGAGCTCCTGGCATTTCTCAGGGCCCAGCCTGTTGTCCCCAGGACTTATGGCAGTGTTCTGGCTGTAACACAGCATCTCCAAATCCCAGCACATCTGTGGGAGAGGCCCCCTGGGTCCATGGGGTGCAGTGTCCCCAGTATGAGCCTCATTGCTGGGGTCCTGAGCTGTGAGAGTCTTTTGCAGCTCAGCCCTTTGGTGATGTTTTGCAGTTCCTGTGCTCTGTGAAGCATTTGGCTGGGATACAGGGATGCAGCCAGGGACTGAGCTGCCTGGAGAGGCTTTTGGAAGGAAGTGTAAACCTGTGCTGACCAGTGAGTGACATCTACACTCGTAATCGGCTGCAGCAGTGCCTTACAACAGTGTTTTTCCAAGGGGTTTTGCATGCATGTGCTTCTTCAGAGATCACTGCAAATGATTCCCAAGTGCTCTGGCCCAAATCTGTCCTGGTAGCTGTCAGCAGATCAATGCTCTACTAAGTACAGACCTGCTCTATTTCCGTGGGAAAATGGCTCTCTTAAGCAGTTCATTTTGGGCCTTCCAGCAGCAGGGCCACTAAATTTTGGTAGTTGTGTTTTTCTGTCTGTTATAGCTTGATTTATAACTTTTAAATATCAGCTTGGATGAAGATTGAGCTTCCCTGAGCTCAGTTTTGAGAGGGAAAAGCATTCACAGCTTTTTAATTTCTCTCCTGCTCGCCTCTCAAATGCCAGGTTTAAAACCCTAATTTTGGTTTCCTTTTTGTTCACAGTGCATGAGTGGAAAGCAGAGGAGAGGCCAAAGCCCAGTGCACACCTGGCATCTGATCCCCCAGCATCCTGCCTTCATCTGACCCAGGTAGGTGAGCTCAGAGCATTGCTGCAGGTGATGCTCACATGCATTTGTGGTGCTGAGTCCAGGGCTGGACTGGTTTCCATTGCCAAAAGTGTGGTAAAAATGCCTTTTCCTTCCCCCTTAGTCTGGGGTGGCTTCCCATCCCTGCTGGTGTGGTTGAGGCAGCTGGGTGCCTGTCTCCCATCCCTGCTGGTGTGGTTGAGGCAGCTGGGTGCCTGTCTCCCATCCCTGCTGGTGTGGTTGAGGCAGCTGGGTGCCTGTCTCCCATCCCTGCTGGTGTGGTTGAGGCAGCTGGGTGCCTGTCTCCCATCCCTGCTGGTGTGGTTGAGGCAGCTGGGTGCCTGTCTCCCATCCCTGCTGGTGAGGGTGAGGCAGCTGGGTGCCTGTCTCCCATCCCTGTGGTGAGGGTGAGGCAGCTGGGTGCCTGTCTCCCATCCCTGCTGGTGAGGGTGAGGCAGCTGGGTGCCTGTCTCCCATCCCTGTGGTGAGGGTGAGGCAGCTGGGTGCCTGTCTCCCATCCCTGCTGGTGGGGTTGGGGCAGCTGGGTGCCTGTCTCCCATCCCTGTGGTAGGGATGGCTTCCAGCTGGGACCTGGGGCAGGTGGGAGGTGTTCAGTCAGTCCATCGTGCTTGCTCAGGGGAGTGTTTTACCAGGGGGAGAGGCCTCTAAAATGAGTATTTGGATGGTGATGATTTTGAGAAAGGGCTCTGTAAAGGGATTGTGTGACTCTGCTCGGGAGGGTTTGCTCCAGCTCGTGTTACATCAGGGAGGGACAAACGCTGCCCACGTGGAGTGATTCAGGTGGACAGCTCGGGAATGCCGGGCAGGAGCAGTTTTATCCTCCAGGAGAGGGCAGGCGAGAGGGTCCTCCAGAAGCGCTGCCTTTGGAGATGGCTCTGCTCTCCTTGCTCGGCTCCCCCGGCTCAGCTCCTCCCCGCGCTCTTGCCGGGACAGTTAAAAGAGACAGGAGCAGCTTTGGGCCTGTTCTGCACATCCCCATCCTCAGCTGGCTCTGGGAGCTGTCAGCCTGGTGCAGGAGATGCGTGAGACAGCAAACATCAGAGCTGACTGGGCTGAGGTAATTTCCCAGCATGTCAGTCCTCGAGAGAGAATAAAAAGGATCTCTTGGTGAAGAGCAGAGTTTGGTTTCCTAATGAAAAAAAAAAAAATTAGGATGATTCAAGCATCTTTCATGTGCCACAGCTGGGGGAGGGTTTGTTGAAACTGGATGTTGTCCAAGGTAGTAGGAGATGGAGGAGAGTGCTGGCATCTCTGTTCAACAGGAGTAGTGGCACTGGGAGGGGCACTCCTACCTGGGCAGAGCACAGGGACTCACTGGGGGTTGCCCAGGGGTGGTGCTCCATGCCTGGTTCAGGGAAAAGAGAATCAGAACAGTGAAGCAGAACTCTTTCACACTCAGATATGTCATTTCTCCCTTATGTTGCTCTTTGCTCAAAGCAAAGAGCAGGCTGAATAGGCTCAACCTGGTGCATGCAAAAAAGGGACCTGTCCTTACCTTGCCTCACATTCCTGTGTGAGAGGAGCCTGTGGAAGGCATTTCCAGATTTGCAGGGAGGTGTTTGTAGCTTCTTGTTGCTGTTTCCTGTTTTATGGTAATCAGGAATGAGCCCAGACATCCCTCCCTGCTCCCACAGGTGCTCTGTGTGCATTGGACCCTGGGAGAAGCTGTGTGTGAAAGATGCTCCAAGGAGGAGCTCCCACTGTGTCAGGGCTGACAGAGCAGCTACAGGGACCATGGAAATAGCAGTTTTCTGTGAAAATACCTTCTCAACAGCAAGCTCTGAAGTGCATTTATTTTTAGTGATTGTCTCTTAAAACAAAATTCTGCTGGGAAATGATCCTGCTGGTTAAAGTCCTCCTGAAAATATAAGCACCAAGAACCATCTGCTCTGTGTTTGGATTTGGGTGTTTTCTTTCAGAGTGCTCTTTGCAAAAACTGAAGGTTTTTCCTAAGAACAGTATATAGAAAAACGAGGTGGTTTTGGTTTTCCTTCTGCTTTTTCCTTTGAGAAAAGGAGAAAAGTTTTTTTCCTAGGGAATTTGGGATAATGAGGGAGATGGCAGAGGCTGCTCTGTCCACTAAGCAGTGCAAGAAGAGGGCAGCCAGGCACAGCTGGGGTCCCAAACACCCCACAGACCCCTGCCCTGCCCAGAAGCTTGGAGGGGAAGCAGGATGTGGTGCTGGGAGCAGGGATCTCAGCCTGAACATCCAGCAGGCACAGAAGCTCTCTCCTCAAGGAGCCTGCAAACCTTGGGCTGGATGATGTGGTCAGAGGCTTTATTTAGTTCTGAGCCTGAGTGGATTTTTAATGCATGAATTTTTAGTGTTCAAACTGAGTAGATCTTTGAACTGCTGTGGTTTCTGAGGGATGTTTCTCTTCCTCTCTGACTGCATGTGCAATAAATGCTCCCAAAAAATCCCCCATGTGCTCTCTAGCTCTGGTGATGTGGCCATGGACTTGCAGCAGGGTTTCCACCAAGCCCCCATGGAATGTTTTGGATTCTATTGAAAAGCAAGTTTTTGGTGCCAAGGTTACATCAAAAGCCCCACGAGCTGGGGGGACATGCAGGAGTGGCAGCAATGTTGGGGCTGTCCCCAGGGACAGTGGGGACACCAGGACCACTCTTGTCTTCAGCTGCCCCAAATGCTGTGGTTAAACAGTGGGGCTGGGAGAGCTGAGAGAGAGCTGGGCTGGAGGAAGGAGTGTCACACAGGGAGAGGTGTCTGTGGTCTCTTCTGGAACATTGGCTTCTTCACCCCAGTAGAGCCAAGGGCAGCCCTGAATTTCTGTTCTGTGCCTTACCTGGCTCCCACCTGGCTCTCTGGATTAAAACAGATTTCTTCTCAGACATCTCCCTCCAAGGGCTGACAAAGCTATTAAGAGATTTTTCTGTTGTTAAAAATAATTCTTAATTAATTAAAAATAATTATTAATTTTGCAAAAATCTACCAAGCCAGGCAGAGAGCCCTGCCCAAGGGTGGCACCATGAGTGCATTTGCTGGATGTCATCATCAGCAAATTTGCTGTTGCTGTCACCATTTGCTGGGTGTCCAGCAGCTCTGCAGAGCCCATTGATGGGATCTTACAGAGTGTCTGATGCTCAGGGTTTGGTGGGGACCATCAGGGACTCTTTGTGGCAGGAATCTGGGCACTGTGTTTGTGACTCTGGGAGGCTTCTGAGGTTTTCTAGCAGTTGAGGCAGCTCTCCCTTGTCTTGGGCTGGGAGATGATATCGTGTGCACACACAGCTTTGGGATGTCACATCAATGTTAACCACAGGGAAGAAGTGAGAGTGGAGGTGGGTGTGCATGGCAGTTTGTTTCTTTGGGTTTATGCCTTGATACTTTCTGCTTAATTGCACCCTGACATGCTCCAAGGGGCAAGGAAGGGTTTTAAAGCAGCTTAAAAAAAAATAAAATTACCTTCCATGAAATATTTAGGATAGCCTGACTACTTTTTAAAGACTGTTCTAATTACTCCTGCAAGGCTTCCACTTCTCCTGATCTCACTGCACATGGAGAGAGGCAGCAGGAGTGTTTGTCCTGGTTAGCACTGAGGGGCTGGGATGGTTTGTATTCACTGCAGGGAGGTGATCACTGCATTGACCTTGGAGATGGTGAATTGGGAGTCAGAGGGCTGCTTTATTCCTGTGGATGTTTGCTGGTGATGGACTCAGGGCTTGGAAGGGAATGGAGGCAGCTTAGTGACATATTAGGGTGTACTAGGAACAAGAATAATGCCCTGGTGCACCCCATGGCTCCCTCCTGGCTGTGTCCTGCCCCCCATGGCTGTGGGGAGCACGTGGCTTGCCTGTGGAGACAGGCTGCTCTAGGAAGTGCTCTCCCAGTGCTGTGAGGTGTGATCCAAAATTAGCATCCCATTCACTTGCTCTTAGCTCTGTTAGCTCTGCAAGGCTAATAGGGCTTAAAAAAAAAAAAAAAAAAGTCTCTTGTCACCAAAATCAGCAGCTCTGACTCAGAACATGCAGAGGGAGCAGACTTGCTGATTAAGGCAATGTTGATGTTGTAAGTGCTCACCCGGCCACAGCAGGGCCCTGGGACTTGCCTGAGAATCTCTCTCAGAGCCTGGGAGGGGTCCTTGGTTCCCATCTTGGTGCCTAAACCACCAAGTGAGGAGGATGAAGGCGTGAACATCAAAGCCAGCCAAGCCATGGAGTGTTCCCAGTGCCGTGCCATGTTCCACAATTAATCACTGCCACCCACACTCCACCTTCTCCCTTCCTTGAATCCTCCCTTGCCTGGCTCTGGAGCAGGGAATGGAAGCAGCTCCAGTTTTATGAATCAATCAAAGACAATGGCTGCTTTTGAGGGCTGCTGATTTAGAGAGCCCTTTGCAAGCATGTGTGCAGTGTGATTTCTTATCAGAGCACAGCTCTGGAGGAGCTTGCCAAGAGGAGCTGTTCCAGCTCCAGGCCACATCCTGGGGAGACGGCCTGAGTGGTCCTTTCATCTACAAATAAAACAAACAGGAACAAAGGAGGCAATAATATTGACTTTCATCATTGATATTTCCATTTATCTCATACAGTTACTAATAATTAGTATTTCTGGAGCTGGATGGGTATAGCTCATAATCTCACTGTTTCAGGGGAGCCTGTTAATGTCACTGCCAAAACCAGGCATGCATAAAGCACTGGGCAAGTGCCAGTGCACTGCACTGGGGTGGAGGGATGGGAATGGAGCAGGGCTGAACCTGGAGGGGAGGTGAGAGGCTGTGGAGCAGGGAACAGTGGGGCAGCAGCTCTGGGGAAGGGACACAGTGGGCAGGGCCTGAGTCAGCACTGCTGTGCCTATGGTGGGGTGAGAGAGCTGTGTGAGCTGGGCCTCATGGGGCTGCCATCATCCAGCCCCCTGCTGCACCTTCTGGCACAGCTGGAGCACAGCTGGGCTGTGCTGGGAGGGAAGGGCAAGACTGGCACTTGGTGCCAGTGGTGCTGGGGTAGAGGATGTGCTCCAGGTG